ATTAGCGAAAGCCTTTGGGTGAGTACATCCTGGGCGGCAGTTTCGTGCGGCATTACTAAAGCGGTAATGATCGTCTGCGGGAGTTGCTGCGAGGCATGCTACTGGAAGAGGATTTATGGTTTCTTATTCGACCGTGTACAAGGTGAGAAATACTGCACTCCAAGTTTGTCAGCCTCTCACTAATGGAGTCGAGTGTGGCACACCCTGAAGTGCTTGTAGTGGACGCCTCAGTTACACGATTCACAGCGTTCTTAAAGAAATTTTCGTGTACTTCGTTGGCCACTTCCGCCAGCTTATTCAGTGGAAGGTCCTCAGCCAAAACAGCTAGTATCGTCGTCGTGTTTGCTAGAAGACACTTAATCCAGAAATGGCAAAGAATGGAATCACCTAAGGTTGATGAACCGAAAAATGATCGCATGTGTCGGAGGAGCTGAGACGATGTACGATCACCAAGCTCGACGTCAGAGACTATGTAGGACTAGTTAATACTAGTCCGAGACGGTGCGCGAAACTAAGCGTGGATATCAGAAGGCAATCGGAATCGGACACAGCGGATTGTATTCGATGGGCTACAATAAGAAGCGGACGGATGAAGCGAGGCGAGAGCGAACACGTGAGCGCGGGAACTTACAAGGTGGTCGAGTGACGAGCCGGTTGTAAGGACGATTAAAACAAGAAGGAATAAAGTACAATCGGTCAACAAGTAAATTTTGCATGAAAGATAAGAGTTACCTTTTTGGGCGCCACAGAGCTCCCACTTGAAGGCTGAACATAGAAAGCCTTCGATTTCGAAAGGGACTGTTGAATCAAGGTTCATAAGACAAAATCGTGCCAAGGAAAAATGAGGGAGCGTTCGTGTAAATGGGGGTTCGCCGGAAATCGGAGTCCGCTGTGCCGTTTGTGATTTGTTATTTATTGATTGCAGGGCAGAGTGCATTTCGGCGGGCCGTTGGAGCGGGCTTGTCGGACTACAAAAAACTGGCTAGCCCAGAAAAAGGCCGACAGGACCTCAACCTCCGCTGCTGCCAAACGGTGCGCTTGGGAGTGGTCTCTCCCCCCACCGCACCCCGCCCCGCGCCAAAACGACCCTCGTCCCACGAAGAAATGACCATGGTCCAACGGAGAAGCGACCTTCGTCCCGCGGAGAAACGATCAGTGTTCGCGTCAGGGTCCCCGAAAACACTCATCGTGTGGGCCAGTCGATCGAAGGGGAGGCTTGGGGCATGTAGAGGCGAGAAAATAGAAAAACACGCGCAGAAAACGCAAAAAGAACGAACGAATGATTTGCGTGTTTAAACTTTTTTGGTTTTTGAATATTTTTCGAAAAAGGTTGTTCGGGGGTTTTTGATATTTTTGTTTGTTTTCAAAACGTTAATCGACCAAAAATTGGGCAAATATATACAATAGCTACAAAGTTAAAAGTATTTACACTGTACATAGTCGAAGAAACGAACGGGCTTACGCACCTCCCGACCACGGCGATTGGTCGTGGGAGGCGGCGGACTAGATTCGGGAAATGTGGGGATGGCTGAAGCTTGTAGACCGAGATCGTGGTCTGGTTGAACTGCACTAGGATGCTGAAAGCTGGTGTGGTGAGTTGTGACGTCGCACGAAACACCACTAGACGAAGTAGGCGAGGTGCTTTCTTTCATAAAGGCGGGTTTTAGACGGTCGATGGTGACGATATCATGTCGACCACCGCGGTCAATAGTGTACGCCTTACTCACGCGGTGTAGCACCTTAAAAGGTCCTATGTACGGCGACTGAAGAGGCTGTCGAACACCGTCTGCGCGAAGAAGGACGTGCGAACACGTAGACAGCTTCTCGGGCACGTACACTGGTGTCTGCTGCGATCGAGGAGCGGGTAGAGGTAGCTCACGCATCTGGTGAGCCAATCGATCTGTGTAACTTCCGTAGTCAAAAGTGGAAGTACATGAGGCTGGTGCTACCAGCTGTCCAGGCAACCGCAGAGTGCAACCGTAGACTAGCTGCGCTGGTGTGGCGTCGAAGTCGGTCTTAACCGTGTTTCTTAAGCCTAGGAGAACGAGGGGCAGCGTTTCAGACCATGAAGGATCTGCATGCGCACGTAGCGCTGCCTTCAACTGGCGGTGAAAACGCTCCACCATGCCGTTAGCGGCCGGATGATACGCTGTCGTCTGAACGTGTCGACAGCCTAAATCCTTAAGCAACGTGGCAAATGTTGACGAGAAATGTTACCCTAGATCGGTGGTCACGTCGGGGTCACCAATTTGTAGGACTAGTTAATACTAGTCCGAGACGGTGCGCGAAACTAAGCGCGGATATCGGAAGGCAATCGGAATCGGACACAGCGGATTGTATTCGATGGGCTACAATAAGAAGCGGACGGATGAAGCGAGGCGAGAGCGAACACGTGAGCGCGGGAACTTACAAGGTGGTCGAGTGACGAGCCGGTTGTAAGGACGATTAAAAAAAGAAGGAATAAAGTAAAATCGGTCAACAAGTAAATTTTACATGAAAGATAAGTGTTATCTTTTTGGGCGCTACAAGTAGCTGTAGGACGCGTGCCTCGTCGGAAGAGGCAGTGTGTTTTAAGATAGCTGCTTTAAGCTTATCGTAAGGTGAGTCAGTCGGCATAGGGTCGAGGATATCGATGACTTCTGAAGCCACGTATGTAGATAAATGGGCAGTAAAATATGGAAAGATCGTAGATTGTGAGATAATCTTACGGAAACGAAAGATAGATTCCAGTTAAATAAACGAGACACGTGGGTTGGACACATTGAAGAATGGCAAAGAAAAGGTAACGGAATTTTCAGATAGCTGTTCACAAAAAGGTTAATCAGACATAATGAAGAAAAAAATAACGTGTTCCCAAAAAGCACGGAGTCATCCAGTAAGATAGAGTATCGTTACCTAATAAGTCCAAGTGCGGAGGCAAAAGACAATCTTAGGGAAAACTCACAATAGAAGAACAATCAAGTCGCCTAGTGTTGTAGTTCGTCCTTCAGTCAATGTTATTCCGATGCAGACTAGCGACTCGAAGATATAAGTCCGACTAGTGGACAGATGTGGAAGCAGCACAAGTAGGGGTAGCATAAAACGAAACCAGCAGGACGCGAACGCGTGGAACTTAATGTATTAAAAAGATTTTGAATTTAACCAAATGGTACAAAATGGTCGGTAACGAAAATGATAAAACATGAAATATAGTGTAATCACAACCACTACATACCACTCAATCCGAATTCACACCAGAGCACTGCCTGACTCTCCTTCTAGTTCGGCTAATGCAGCTAAGGTTAAAAAGAAAATCCTTGAACTATCAGTTTAAAAAAGCGAGTGCTCTATTTAAGCCACATCGTATCCAAAGATGGTGTAAGTTGCGACCCGGAGAAAGTCGAGCACGTCCGCTCATGGCCCGTCTCAGAGACTTTTGACAAAGTACGCAGTTTTCTCGGCATTGTTTCTTATTGCCATCGTTACGTTCGAAACTACGCAACCGTTGCGTCTCCGCTAAATGAGCTATTAAAGGCCGATAAAATATTAATTTGACAAACAGCTCAGCAATAATCGTTTGAGTAACCTCAGACCACCTTGTGTGAAGCACCGGTGCTAAATTACCAGATACGTTGCCGTCTTCTGGCATTTTCATCCTGGACACGGATGTCAGTGACAGAGATATCGGAGCCGCGCAGTCACAGCGCATGACAGACGGAACCGAACCAGTCATTGCATATGCAAGCAGAGGTCTCTCATAAAGAGAGTGTAACTATTGAACAAATCATAAAGAGATGGTTGCCCTGGTGAACTTTGTCAAGCACTATCGCCACTATCTGCTAGACCGCAGGTTCATCATGCAAACCGAACACCAGTTCTAGATCTGCCTCCAGAACTTCCACGACCCTGAAAGACAAATTGCCAGGTGGTAGGAACACTTACAGGAGTACGATTTCGAATGTCAATACCACCCTGACATAAATCAGTCAAAGGCCGATGCGTTATCTCGGTCTGTTGGGAACCATGGATCATATCCACCAGTCACGAGCCCTTACATGTCCGCAATTATCCTCCACGCATCTGTAACCGAGAAATGGACCAGTTTGCAGTCAGCTGACCCAGAGTTGAGCCTACTGTAGGACCGCATCGCACAAAACAAAGGCAAACCAATACATGTAGAACTGGCCGATACCGGCTGGGAGACGAAATGCTTGTGGTCGCTTTGGCTCCATATACGCGTGACGGATGGAAATATGTATTTCTAACATAGTCCCATCTACGTACGGAGAATTGTTGTCCCAACGGCCGTAACTCAGAAAGTGCTACGAATACGCGACAAAACAGTACGGTTTAAGCTATCCGCCACCGATTTTGGTAGCCACACTTACGGTGCGACATCACAAACTATTGCCAATCTTGCGCCGATTGTGCACGAAGTAAAAACCCTACACCAGTCCGTCGTGGGCCGCTGCAACCAATGGCGGCTGGGTTCCCGAACGAGCTAATTGTCATCGACATTGTGGGGCTGCAACCAGAAACTGCAAGAGGTCATTGTTATTCTTGGTAATTGCAGACTATTTCAGAAAATGGTGTGAAGCGGTTCCACAACATAAAATAGACGTATAGAGTGTGGCTAAAGCGTTCTTCGGTGATTGGGTAGCACGACGGAGATCACCATACCAGTTAGACTTTGATGGTGGATCAAACTTTGAAAACATGCTCATGAGTGAGTTGTGTCTCGTGTTTGGCATCCGGGAGATCCGGACTACTGTTTACCATCCAGATGGAGAATTAATAGATCAAGCGCATGAAAAGTACGCGCAAAGCATTGTTACAAGCATTCTTTTGTAGTGAGACAAATAGAGTGGGGAACGTCTCTGCGTAAATGCTTGCTGGTCTACCGAGCGTCTGTATATTCATAGACTAGTCAAACGCCGCATCTCATGATGACGGGGTGAGAGCTGAGAGTACCATCGGACACGCCACTGCCGACATCACACCACGAGCCCCTGGTGACATCTGATCACTTACAGTCAGGCTTTCTGCGCATGCATCAGTTAGCGCAAGCACATATGCAGAACTCACAGCGCTACCGGAAGTTTACTTCGACCAGAAGACTTTCGGAAGTCTCCACCAACCCGGTGAAAAGTTTGGCTTAAGGTGGTCGCAACACCGACGAGTGTACCGGTGAAATTCCATCGTAATTGTGCTGGACCGTACGTCATAGAAAATATGCTGTCAGGCTTGACTAATCGGATCATGAAACCTGGCGCACTGAGCTCCTCCACGGTCATAGACTTCAACCGGCTAGAGCCGGCGGGCAGGACTGTGGGCGCTGAGGACAGCGGCAAACAAGAGAGGGAATATTGTGGCATGTTTATATGCGCTTGTATTTCGCGCCAGACAAATGTGCTGTTACTTTCCTTTGCAGGAGGGTCCGCTGCGGTAGAATACATGAGAGAAACTCCTCAGGGAAGTGATGGAAAATTACCCCGGACGCTTAGCCTTGTTTGTACTAGCCTTGATATTACGGTTGACTTGACGTTGCACACGCTCGCCGGGCTTGCTCCAGTTTGCTCGCTTGTACCACGCTGTTTCCACCAAGTGTTGAAATACACTTCCGGGCAATTGACTGAATCACGTGGAATGCTGATCCTCAGCAATCCAAAAATTCTCATTTATTAGAATGAATCAAGGGAGGCAAAATCTGAGTAAAGAATTCTTTTCGGTACTTCTCACCATACTCAAACATTACATGATGAGGAAAAGTGCTAAATGTGTCGGATTGGGCTGCGTATTGAACAGAATGTTTAATTGCACGGATACAAATCAATAAATCACGGGGTCATTGTAGGTGGCAAGTATGTACAGGAGAAATCACATCCGAAGTTGTAGGCCACGGCAGAAGTAAAGGACGTACAAACTGTTTTTGTACGCATAATTCTGGCTTGAGATGGCGGATGTAGATAGCTTCCGCGATAGACAGAAGATGCATTCGGAATCCGCGCGTGAAACGTTCAGGAACAGTATAGATGACTCTGAAATCATTTTCCGTTCCTGCGTGACTGCACTCTAGAAGGTGAGATAAGATGGAACTGTTACTGGACCTCGCTTCGACTTTGTAAAACCATTTTGGGATGTGTTCGCGAATCCTATGAGATAGGCGTCTCGTTGTACGACCTACGTATCGTGCCCCACAGGTGCACGAGTAAAGATAAACAAACACTGATCGGGTCAACGAAGGCAGCCTGTCTTTCAAAGGTTTTGCGAATAAAGGCTTGTTGTAAAATACTATGCGTAGGCGAGCCGCGAAATAGGTCTTTTAAACAGTGTCTCTCAGGCGTTTGGACAGGGCATCAGCTGCACTGTCGCATTTGAAAGGAATATGCACAATGAGTTCTTTATTGGGTCCGTTCATCCTCGGTGGTTTTATCTTGCGTTCTTTCAAAGGTTTGACGATGAATTTATCCGGATACCCATTCGTTCTCAGCGCGTCGCCGATCCTCTGTAATTCTTTGGTGATTGTGTCCGGTGTGTAAATTCTATGTGTCCGGAAGGCAAGAGGTCAGGTCAGGTCAAAGTCCGTGGACGATACAGGCTTCCGCCTAACGAGCGTCCAGCTTCGTGTACCGGTAAGCGAACCAGAGCCTCCGGCACTTCGACTTTTGATCGCCTCTCCTTGCCTCTGCAAAAAGAAATGAAGCAAAAGCGAAAGCAATCTTTGCTTTTACAAGGATCAACATCGGATATCAATGCGAATAAATTGGATAGGATTATATTAATTCCGGAAAAATACGCGGCCAGCACCTGTCTAGGCCTGCTTTGAAGGCAACCACAGTCTCACAATCCATTAGTTCCGAAGGCAACTTATTCCAGTTGCCCACTACACGATTCGAGAAGAACTTAGCCCTGACGTTCAGTCTAGCCCTCTGCTGTTTGAGCTTCAAGCGATGTCCACGCAAGCGTTCAGAATCAGCCAGCTCAAATAAATCAGAGGGCACGATGGCACTGAGGCCCTTCATGAACTTAAATGTTTCTATCAGATCGCCTCTCAGTCTACGCCGTTCAAGGGAAAACAACCCCAGGCTCTTTAGGCGATCGTCATACGGCTTCCCCCGTTGACCTTCAACCATCCTGGTTGCTAGTCTTTGAATTTTCTCCAGGCAAAGAACATCACCACGGAGATAGGGCGACCAAGCTTGAACACAATACTCTAAGTGTGGCCTAACCACTGCTTTGTATAGTGGCAGGAACACTTCTGGCTTGGTATTACACAGAGCTCTCCTGAGGCGAAACAATTCTCGTCGCGCTTTGTTGGCGGCGTATCGACATTGCATCGAAGGCTTGAAGCTGCTCGTCATGATGACTCCTAAATCGCGTGCCTGGGTAGTGCATTGTAAGGGGAAGGGCCCAAAGGAAGTCTGAACTGCAAGTACGTCTCTACTAGTGGTCAGAATTTGGCACTTGCTTGCATTCAAGGGCAAGTCCCATTGCTTCGACCAGTTGACCACACTGACGATATCCTTGGCCAGTGTTGCACGGTTGCCCCTGCTGACCAGTTTCAAGTCATCCGCAAAGATATAACAGGGGTCTTCAATAAGAGGAGCCAAGTCGTTTATAAACATAAGAAACAAAAGTGGAGTGCGGACTAGATTTAGTTTGTACAATATGGGTACCGCACTATAGAAGTTGATGTACTGTCCAGTCCAAGATGAGTTTCTCCGCTGCACGATCCATCGGAATTTTTGATGATATCAACACAACACAGTAAAACAGGCTCAATATAGAATATACCATCGAAGAGATAAACGGTTTATGGTTCACGACTGTCCGTTCGTAGTTTTGTTACAGCTAGAGGTCCCTCAAGATGCATCTGGAAAATAAGAGAAAAGTGAGAATGAACAGACTGCGGTTAAAGCGGGTGCGATGCCGCTACAATCCGTGTCGTGCGCGATAATATCCCCACAGTGGCTAATTTTTGACATGAAAATTTGGCCTGGAGGGACTTTGTGTTCCGGTACACCAAGCTAAATGGTGATGCTTTCATAACTGAATTTGAAAGATATGTGTAATCATTGTAATCATTGTATTGTAGAGAGCAGAAGGAAAGAGCTTTGTCAGCTCCATCACTTCCCAATCATAGCAGGTGTTAGCGCAACTGCAATTAACAAGTTAGATTGTCACAGTTACATAAGAAACAACAACACCCCTGCAAATTCATGTACAGGTCGCTTCGTGCTTACGTATGTACAAAAAATGGTAGTTAGTAAGATATATTAGTTGTAAATTTCACTTCCATTTATCGCGATTTTAAAAAATACAATAATCAGAAGGAAGACATGTATATCCCTTTTCCAAGCAAGCAATTTACTGAAAGCATAAACTTTACCCAAATGAAACAATTGCATTAATACTTATTTGCTCCATAAAACCGCCGTTTACACTGTATTTTTATTTAGCATTTGTCTACTTTCCATTATGCCGTGAACTTCAAGTGCGCCTATAATCATCACTTTAATCATAAACGTTTTTACGAAGCAAATTCATATAGCATTATTTTCTATTTCTCCGCAACGTAATACCACCAAAATTAAGCATATACTCTGCATGTACTCAAACAAACTTGGATGTTACCGAGGACAACGGTAGCGAAACGCTTTCCAGTCATGACAAAAATTAGCCTGTCCCCGATATTCCAGCGGTTATACTCAAAAGTATGGAGAGTAGATGCCTCAGTGACCTTAGAATTTGATTGAACAAATTATCCAACAGCTTAACCTTGCAAAACGAAGATATCTACAGCGGAAAATGTAAAAAGATTTTTTGGCAAATGGGGTGTGATTAAGAATAGCCCAAGGTGCGATGCGTTTTTGTATCCTAGCTGAACTGTAGATGCTTGCCTCATTGGATAAAAATGTTTATATTAGAATGCTTAGTGCAAAAGTACTGTAATAGAAGTTGACTTTAAATTCCTTACTTAGTCGTTTGAAATAAACCTGTAAGCCTAACCATCAGTTTACACAAATGCTTGAAAAAGTTATGGAACACGAATTTGTGAGCACTTAGTTAGACGCAAATTAATTGAAGCTGAACAGCATGGTTTTGTTAAGAAGAAATCCTGTCTTACTATGTTTCTTTTTTAGTTGAGATGGCCGTATGTCCTGCTTTAGGCGGGTGAGACCCCATTTCAAGCTGTCGTGCCGTTTTTTTCATTTATGCTTTGCGGGAGGTAAACATATCGCGCGTTGAGGTCGGAGAAGTCTGAATGTCCCGCTTTGGGCATGTAGAATATTGGCTAAAAAAGGAAGAACCAATTAGTGGCGGCCTATGCAGGAATATAAGTGAGCGGTCATGAGTTGAGCGAGATATCCTGCTCCATGCGTGGGTTGGGCCGCTAGGTTTTTCGACCATGTACAAATAGGGAGAAAAGCGGTTATGCAGTGTCTGTGTCTTTAGTGGAAAACGCCTGCCTGACTTACAGTTTGGCGGTTAACTCATTTCTAAACCAACCTGCAGGATAACGAACTAATTTCCAGCGCTTTTCCACTCATTGAACTGCATCACACGACAAACTCGCATGTTGGAGGTAACGTATGCAAAACCAATTTGTGTTATTATCACGGCGGCAGGTCAGACATCACAAGGCACTTAAAATCGGGTCGCTGTTAGGTATCAGTTTCTGCAACAACAACCCGGTAACAAATTATTTCCAATCAGAAACATTTTGAAACATAGTAGCCAATTAGCTGCCGCAGGGAGTACCTTCGCGTAGCACCCTGGATGTCATAAGCAGTGTACGCTCCATGAATCACAACACAGTGGTTAGAGAAATTGTTTGAGCTGACTTCCGCTTATGCCCGCAAAATGGTTAGGCCATGGTAGCTAAGGTTTAGCTCTCCTCTGCCAGAAACAAATTACAAGAAAAACAAAGGGAAGCGAAATTCGCATCAATATTTACAGGCGCCACAAACCACAAGAAACCAAGGTGTTATTCTCAGTGTAATACCTTTTGAGCCGTCATCGGTTATTTGAGCGAAGTTATCCGATGTGCAGTCGCTTACTGATGACACATCGGATATGGTTTGTGAATCTGCAAATAATGTGTTAGAGCACAATAATATGAGCAGAAGTACTATGGGAGCTTGTTTTGGCAACGCCAACAAAAATCTCGTTGGCTTTTGCAGAGGAAGCCAAAATAAAGCGCATACGCAGCTGTAATCTTCGATTGGAGAAATACTTGTGTGCATCCGTTTGCGTGGCTCACCTTGTACACAACACGTTGCTAACGGCAGCAGTCTGTCTACTTATTGATGTTGAAACAATTTTAGAGAAATAACTTTTTGCAGGTAACCTGCTCGTGTTGATAAACCAAAAAAGACTGTGACTGTAATTGTAAAGTACCAACGCGTTCTAGGTTACGGGTACCCTTGATGGCTAGTCGAACAACCTCCTCGTGGTGTCAGCCGGGTGGTTCGGGTTTAACCCGTTCCAGCAAATAGTTCGGCGGTAGTGTTCCAGGACGTGGGGGGTTTCGCCTGGCTAGCGTCCACCCTAGAAAAAGCCACATATGTCTGCTTAACAACACGGTGACGTGGCGGTCGTGACTCGCCACAAAATAAAGTCACTGCCCCGTGGATATCCGGATAATTCTCTCCAACCCACGGACACCAATCTCCTACTCGCATATTGATGACAATATCAAACATTGTTGATTGCAGCAGCACAACTACAAGCACA